CACATTGGATAAAGTCAATCCCAGCACTGTGCAGGCAAACACATTGGATAAAGTCAATCCCAGCATTGTGCAAGCAAACATCACTAGCTTTCTAATTCTGAAGCAGATTATTTTGAAAGCAGCTGGAATTGAAACTCTTTTTAAGAGATTTCATCAAACTTTTGATGGATACTAGCATTTTACTGTCCAACTCATAAAAATTAATGTATGTGGATGCAAGGTCAGAACTTATAGAATGAGCCAGTGGTGTGGAAAGGTCACAGTTGGAGTGCCATGCCATAAAAAACACATCAATATTGCAGTGGATGATGGGAAATATCAATATGCACTGCATGATGGGAAATAAATGAGACAGGAAACATAAACAGTCATTGTATATGCTTTGCATTTTGGGAAGTTTAACTTAATTATTATCATGTGGCCCATGCATAAATCTGGCAAGACAAACTGTTTTGTAATAAGATACAATTCTTCATGCAATTATGCTAATAAATCTATCAGTATACTTTACAGTGCAATGTTCCCCTATCGCATATACTCATAGTATACTCACATAATAATACTGTTTTTTTATCATGCCAAACAAAATTCTAATCAATTTGTTTGTAAAATTATTTTTATTCTAAAATTTTTGCCTTCATTATTATTTTTTATGAAAATTTATTTATCCTTTGATTTTTTTTAAAATTCTGCCGAAGATCCTAAAAAAAGCTGTGACATGGACATTTTTAACTGAAATATTGTAAATATCTTAGTTTAGAGCTGAGGTAACAAGTGTATTAATATAGTAAAGCCATACATGTATACGTTTTTGTTGTATCAACAATGATGTAAAATTGGGTAGCTACAGTTAACTTTTGAATTCGATGAGATTTTGTTTTCATTATAATTACATTGTTGTTCAGATTTTGATATTATGGAAAAACTCAGCTGTAGTTGAATCTCAACTCTTATGAGGCTAAGCTGAGCATTTTCAGCACCAGTTCCTTCTTTACATCACAAATTCTCATAATAGTCCTACTAATAGTCTGCAACTTCCTTCAGAAGATTGGGACAAAAATAGTCAAATTTTTTGAGTAAAAACTGAAAATTGACTCAAATTTTGTCAGTTAGCTTCAGAATTAGGGTTCATTTCCAGAAATATAGAAAAACACAAGAAAAATGTGCAGACAAATTTGGACAAGAGAGTCTGGTGTTTGTTTGTTGATAACCGATAGTTTGACTTGTGATAGATGAATTTTCAAATGGCACTCAGGTTCAAGTTTCGATAAATTTAGTGAGTTGGCAACACCTGAGGTAAGATAAAAAACCTTCACATTAAAATTTTAATAGCAATCCTCGGAATAAACCTGCATACCTATATAAAATGAACGCTATCAAACGCAATTTCTGCAAAAAGCAAAATGATTTTTGTGAACTTACCAAAACAGACAGTATTGGTCAATTCGTTACATGCTCGTAAAAACATGTCACACACGGCACATTGCTTGCATTCCGCCATTGTGCTGGTTTCGTCGGAATATGTTCCGTTACCACATGCTGCGCATACAGAATTCTGTAAAGGTCCACAAGCAACAAAAGCACCATACCCCGCTGGACACATATCACATTGACTGCAACTGAAGTCTTTGTCGTTCATATAATAATTAGTAGCACATTCGCATACAGTATCATGCGTTGCATTGCAAGGAATCTTCACCTGCATGTTGGTTGGACAACTGCTGCACTGTTGACATGGTGTAATATGACTCCAGTCTGATGAAAATGTTGTCTCTGTCTCACACTGCTCACAGACAGTATTGTTAGTTCCCGTACAAGATTGGACCACACCTGTTCCTGGTCCGCACTGCTCACAACATTCCCCTGTTATTGTAATACTTTCACTTGGACATCCCATACAATATAACATCCCCTAAAAATGAAGAATATAACAGAATTTTAAAAAATGATTAAAATAAATCAATCAGAATTAACAATAAATTAGCGGTCTTGAAAGTACAATGATATTTCAATCAGATTGTGTAGTTTTGATGGTCTGGCCTGTCAAAACTGTTTCCATAACAACAAGTGAATGAGTAAATTCAATAATACCATGGTGTTAAAACATCACACAAAGTATGTAGTATGTGACAAAATGCAGTGAAAAAACATTTTCTAGCTTCGATCCCGGCCTATTTGCATTCAATTACAAGACTATTTCTGCTGTATGCTATGTTTCTGCTGCATCCCACCCAAATAGAAAGAAACTGTTTAAAAGTGAAACCAATGATCTGGAACACAGTGAATGTTGCTGACTTTCTAACATGGGAACAAGTGGAAAAACTCACAAAATACATCTGTTATCGTCTGCAATTTCTTTCAGAAGATTGGGACAAAAATAGCCAATTTATTGTAGTACAAACCGAAAATTGACTCAAATTTTGTCTGTTGGCTCCATAATTAGGGTTCATTTTCAGAAACATTGAAAAAATTTAGAAAAAAGTAAGTGCAGACAAATTTGGGCAAGAAAATCTGGTGGTGAAAAGGTTAATGTAACAACTGTGAGCAACAAACATTTTTAAAGTCAATTATTCAGCAACAATAAATTTCAATTGACACTAAATGATTAAAAATATTTTTGTAAATTATTTTTTAATCATAATTTCTTCAAAATTACAATTATAGGACAATCCCTATGGCAACAGTTATCAATAAATATATGTTACATATATTTTTGGATGAATAAAAGAAAATTGAAAGCATCCATATTTATATTGCTCAGAATAAAAGCTACATTCAGCATGACATGGAATATAATCATAATATTTACAGATTTTAATTAATTAATGTGCTTTCTATTTTAATCACTATAATTATTGTAGTAAGGTGTATTCAATATTAAGTCGGTGACATCAAATGCTACATGTCCCATCAAATATAATGGAAATGTTGCACCAAGATAACATCTAAGAAAGACACAAAGGAGGCTTTTATGACTCTCCATGCTAGGGAGGAACCAATTATATTTGGGGGGGGCAGACAAAGAGAATAAGGATTTGTAATAAATCATAATAAAGGGGGTGGGTTACAAAGCTTAATCTTACAGCAGATTTACTGCTCAGATTATAATTACACAGATTGAAGAGTAAACAAAATAAACAAATCTGTCTTATGGTTCCTCCTGCAACTCTGGGTTGCACAGTGAGGTGTATATGGAAGTAAAGTCTTATAAGATTCAATTAAAATGGTAAACAAAATAGCCAGGGTCAGTACATATGATGTCCAAATAGTAGTCAGGGTTTCAGCTTTGTTGTCTGGCACTTATCAAGATCACTGTCCAGACAACTCAATTCCCAGAAGCCTCTTTGATCATAGGTACTCTTGCATAACTGGAGAAAAGAAAGGCCACACCCACAGACATGAGAAGAGTTAAGAAAACAAAAGAACTGTCACTGCCAAACTGTGAGTCATTAATCAAAGTAAACAAAGCATTAGTTGCTTAACAATAACCAACTATTTGCTTGCAGATCTGATATTGTCTAGGTCTGCATGGCATTGACTACCATCTGGCAGCAGAAGACGGAACATGGTTGATACAGTTTGTTAGAATCATATGAACCCCCAAAATTTGAAAATATTTAATTTTTTTTTTCTGGTTTATATTTTTTTTTTACATAGAAATGTTGGTTGGGAATATATAGAAACAAATCCATTTATTTTCACTGACATTTAATTTTACTATTTTGATATTTTGAGCTTTTTCACTGTGTTTTAATTTCACAAATTTATCAAAGAAATAAAGAGTTGTATTGTTATTTTACATGTTCACATAGATTTAATTTTGCAGGTTTCACTTATCAGCAAAAATAGCAAATTAAAAATTAGTGACTAATTAATGCATTTACAGTATGAAGAATACAAACTTAAGTGTGCCTCAAATGCAAATACACTTGTAATAAAACAAATACAAAACTAGTATTTATATTTGGAAACGAAACAGTGAATAGTTTCTGTTTCAAAGAGCAAGAAAACAAAATAAAGAAAAATTTAATAGCATTAATGAATACTTCCGCCATAATGTACTTGAGTTGTTGCTATGGTAGCAACTCAAGTATTTCCCATCCTTGGCCTGTTTTATACCATTATTTATATTAAATTAATAAAAAAAGATTATGCAATCCTTTTTTGAAGGTTGTACAAACAACTACACCATGTGCTAAGAGCCTGGTATTGCCAAAAAGCCAGCTGAACAGAGTAACTACCGGTAGTAATTTATGTATTAACACTAACCTAGCATGCAAGGTCCATTAGATAATTGTACCATATTTACTCTATTAGAAGCGCATATAAACCAAAAATTAAATTTATTGTATACTGAACCATTAAAATGTTACTTATTTTGACCGTAATACAACGTGGAATGCTTGAATTATTCACTAAGTTTCAATTATATTGACTGCAAAATTGTCTTTCTTAATTTAAATCAATGAAATACACACTGTATTATAAAATAAAACCAGTCAATATTTTCTTACATTTTACATTCAACTTGTCAAAAATCAGTGAAAATAAATTTGCTACAAAAATTTGTTCCAGCTAAAATTACAGTAGTCAAAATCTGTTCCAAATTAGGTATTTGTGAGCTTTGTAAGAAATTGACACCAATACAATGTATAATTTATTTTTAATATGCCGACTATTGAATATGCCCCCTTTTTTTAAGTGGTACATCCCTAATTTCAGAGGTTTGCAGATAATACACTAATATCAGATGCAAGACTCATAAGTTTTTACTAGAGATTGCTTTATCCTCTGCATACATGTATTATGTAACATCTCTTTTACTCTTTTAATAGTATGATATTTAAAAAGTTAGCTGAGAATAAAAAATGTTTTTTATTCATCACAGATTCATAGGGACTTTGTATTCACATTATGGCTGCCCAATAAAGTTTTTTTTATTTAGTTTCAATGTTCTGTTTTAACTACTTAAGTTGTACAGTTGGCAACATTTTGTTTGATGTCTTTAGCATGTGAAGTAATGTAACAGTTACGACATCCACAAGATATCTGCGCCAGAACTGTTTTGCTAAAAACCAGAAATTACTGAAAATAGATTTATTTGTTTTTAGCATCTTAGGGTGTCATCAGTCAAGTCACTATGAGTTTTCAGTATCTTAGGGTGTCATCAGTTAAGTCACTATTAGTTTTAAGCATCTTAGGGTGTCATCAGTCAAGTCACTATGAGTTTTAAGCATCTTAGGGTGTCATCAGTCAAGTCACTGAGTTTTAAGCATCTTAGGGTGTCATCAGCCAAGTAACTATGAGTTTTAAGCATTTTAGGGTGTCATCAGCCAAGTCACTACTAGTTTTAAGCATCTTAGGGTGTTATCAAGTCTCTGAGTTTTCAGCATCTTAGGGTATCATCAGTCAAGTCACTGTGAGTTTTCAGCATCTTAGGGTGTCATCAAGTCTCTGAGTTTTCAGCATCTTAGGGTGTCATCGAGTCACAGAATCACATATAATTTTTTGTTTCACAATTGAAGATGAAAATATCACAAAATCAATATTTGGTGTACAGCATAAATTTTGATGTCTGAGATGCAAACAATATTTTGGAGTTGTTTCTTATATAGCCAATTAGGTCCCTCATCTATGAATGTATAGGACGATTATTTTACTCGTGTTGCCTCCTGCAAACTTCAAACATTACAAACATTACTTCATTTGAAGTTTATGAAAATTCAAACATTCTAAACATACACACAAATCAATCAAAGCCTCTCAAAGTCTATTCGCGATATATTGAATTGTTTGATACAACCTTATGGCGGATTGTGACAGTGATACACAAGTTCTGGAATAACAACCATGATGCATTGCGTATTCAGTGAAATATACATATCTGGTTATATCCCTTAATTATAGCATAATCAAGAAATGAAAGCATCTTGCAAATTCAAACACTGTACAAGCATTCATTTTTTTCACTTTAATTTAATTGTTTCGAGTGTAACAACTTGCGTCCACATATCCCGTGAGGTGCATGTTACGATTATCGAATAAACCATGTGAATATTGATTTTCCAATATTTAGTATATCAGGATATTCATGTTACACATACAAGATTTTAGTTTAGGTGAATTTGCTATTTTTAGTGTGCAATAAAAGTAAAGTCCATCATAAAATGTCTGTATGTCCTGGGCAGATGAAATTTTATGAGAAGTCATCCAGTAATCAGGCAGCCACGGAAATCTCACAAGTAATCTTCCGATAAAACGCCAAACTTTCATTTAATATTACTCATTTTTTTACAACTTAAAATGATTAAGCTTCCCAAAGGGTTCTCCTGTCTGCCGTAATAACACTTCAAAGCTTTTCCTGTTTAACCGACAACAGAATCACTTTGATTGTAGAGTTACAAAGAGTGGCAAGCACATGCACAATGCAGACTCCATAAAATACGTACAACTGTTAAGAGCCGCATAGACGACATAAGGCAGTAAATTTAAATATTCATGACTGAGCAATAATATCCAGCATTGAAAGCAAAAGTCTTCGGTAGTTTCCATTGCACACGAACAATTCAATACTCTTAAGCCGACTCAGTGTGTGAAACATAAAAGTCACCACTCTCTATAAAATGATTGGATGTTAGTATATTGTCGTTTACGTGTCTGTTGACATGATTTTATGTGAATCAATAAACAAAGTGTTTGGAAGTTGGTTTATTCTCTCCTCTTGACCCCATGTTAAAGATTCAACTTGCCATTTTGTTCAATTATTTCAATTCATGGTGACCCCTCCTATCACTTTATACCTACCCTCCTTTTGTGGCGTTTTTCACAAATATCATTCTAAATAAATTACTGTGGAATACTTTATTTTCGCTTGGAATTAATTTTTGCTATTTTCGCTGAAGGAATGATTAA